TGCTATCCATTTTCTGCCACTCAAGGTGTCAAATGAATAAATGTGATAAATCAGTATTTAACCTGGTGGTTGTTGAGTTTGCAATCCCTCGGCAGTGTCCTGGAGAGTTTATAGGTAAGTATTTTGGTTTTGTGCTAAGTATACTTTGAAGAGTCATCAAAACAAAGGAATAACATGATCAGTTTACATATTTAAACATTTTAAACAATCATTTTTGTGTAGGTTGGATGTTTTAAGCAGGTTGTAGGGGCTGTTTCACAGAGATATTAATTTAAGCCCCACTGGAGATAGTGGGGAAGGAGAGGAATTAGTGGAAAAAAGGGGTTACTTGAATAAATCTTTTTTTTTTTTTTTTTTGGTTTTTTTGAGACAGGGTCTTACTGTATAGTTGAGACTGACCTGGAACTCACTATGTAGCCCTGGCTGGTCTCGAACTCACAGGGATCCTCCTGCCTCAGCCTCCCGAGTGCTGGGATTACAGGCCCGGCCTTCACTCTTAAAATCTTTAACAGTTCAAATAACTTCAGTCCAGTAAATAATCTAAAATCACTACATAACAGCTTTAGTTTCATTTGTTTGTTTGTTTTGGTACCCGGGATCGAATTTGGGACCTTGTACTCGCAAAGCAGGTGGCAGAACCACTGAACTACATCCCCAGCCCTAGTGCTTCAGGTTTTTAAAGTGCTCTAAAAATTTATTCATCTAATAGGTGCTTTAAAGTTATTTTTACTTAACTTTTTTGTTTTGTTTTTCGAAAACAGTCTCACTAATAGTCCAGGCTGGCCTCAAACTTGTGGTAATCCTCCTGCCTCAGCTTCCCAAGTGCAAGGATTGCAGGTGTGTGCCCAGCTACTTACCATTCCTATGATTACAATAACTGTGAGGGGAAAAAAAAAACAAAAATAAAACAAAACTGTGAGGGTGAAGTAAAAATTGCCAATCTAATCAATGTCTTTTACCAACAAGTGATACTCACTTTTAATCTGTATATGTGGTTTATCACCAATTCTACTCATTCATTTCTGTGTGGAAAATGTGGGATACACACCCAAAGGAGAAGCTTTAAAAGATTTCTATCCTGCCGGGCATGGTGGCACACACCTGTAATCCCAGAACTCAGGAGGATGAGGCAGGAAGATTGCTGTGAGTTCTAGACCAGCCTGGGCTACATAGTGAGTTCCAGGTCAGTCTCAACTACCTAGTGAGACCCTATCTCAAAAAACCAAAAAACCAAAAATTTCTATCCTAAACTAATTTTGGTCACACATGCCTATAATTCCGGCATTCAGGAAGCAGACACTGGCAGATCCTGACTGAGTTCAAGGCCAGCCTGGGCTACACGGCAGCAAGACCCTGTCTCAAAAATCTGAACCAAAAGAAAAAAGAAAAGAAAAACCCAATTCTACCCTTCAGGTGTCCTAGGTGAAAATCATATACCATTTTGGTTTAACAATTTTAAAATTAAATGCATTAAACTAAGAGATATGGAAGAAACATTTTCAAAGCACCGAGAGACTCAGGACTACCGTGAGTTCGTGGCCAGCCTGGGCTGCACACTGATGACCCTCTCTCTAAAACCCAGTAAGTCCAATACAATTAACTGTTTTCTTTCAGACAAGGGCAAAGGTGAAAACAAAAGAAACTGAAGATCATTTATATTTGATTTTTGGAAGAGTCACAAATAGCTGGGCCTTGAGGTGTGCAACCCTATTATCCAAGCATTGTGGGAGGCTGAGGCAGGAGGTTCCCAAACTCAAGCCCAGACCAGACAATTTAGTGAGACTAGGCCTCAAAATAAAAAATAAAAAAAGGCCTGGAGATATACCTCAGTGCAAAGGCCCTAAATTTAACCCCCAGTATTGAGGAAAAAAAAGAATATAAAGTCTAATCTGACAGAAGCCCTTCCCGACTGATCCAGTACTCTGTGGGCCACTCCATGCTACCTGCACCAGTGCAAAGGAGATCACATGACTCAAGCCAACCCTCTCAAGCTGAAGACTGCAAGTTTTCAAAATTTTGCATGAAATTTATGTTACCTAGAAAAATTTAAGGAACAAGAATTTGAAGAGGAAATTGTTATGGTCTGATGTTATGGGCATTCCAAAAATGAACCACTAGACAAAAAAGGATCAATCACTGGTAATTCATAGGGATCAGATCCAAAACAGTGAACCTGAATGGGGATTTATGAAGCACTATTCATCCGCACTAAACAAAGGCTGTGCTCTCACAGGGATTACATCTCAAGCAGGGCTTTGTCAATCAAAATGCCACTCCCCATAATGCTGTATATGTACAGGATAGCTCGGAAAGACTAAAGCAGGAGAAGCTAAGCCACTGGCTCAGCAGGAGACTTGACATCAAGATGAACACAGACTTCATGGGATGAGTCTCAAGGTTTCTCTGCTCCTCTCCTCCAAGAGGCCTCCATTAAAAACATTTATTCCAGCCAGGAGTGGCAGTGTATGCCTAGTCCCAGCACTACTGAGGCTGAGGCAGGAGGATCCCAAATTCAAGGCCAGCCTGGACTCATTATTCAAGACTTTTTCTCAAAAAATGAAGCAAAACAAACAAAAAACCCCAAAGCATTTATATAGCTGGGGATGGAGGTGCAAACCTTTAACCCTAGTTACTCCACAGACTGAGGCAGGACTCCAAATGTGAGGCTACCTTGGGCAACTTAGCAATACCCTGTCTCAAAACAGACAGACAAACAGTGGATACAGCTCAATGTTAAAGCGCTGTGGACTCAATCCCCAGCACTGGTAACAAAAATTATTCATTGTAGGGCCAGGGATTTAGCTCAGTATTTCCACTGCCTGCCTCTCAAGTTCAAGGCCCAGAGTTTACTCACTGTAAATTATTTTGCTGCACATAAAAAATACTCAGATACATTGCTAATCCTTTAATACCAGGAAATTTTTGATATCTTTTCAAGGATAAACAAGCAAAACCACAAAGTGACATGCAGTGGGGTGTGCCTGTAGTTATAGCCACATGGGATCACCTGTCTCAAAAAAAAAAAGCCAGGCGTGGTGGCAGGAGGATTGCTGTGAGTACACAGTGCTGGGCTACACAGTGAGTTTCAGGACAGTCTCACTACATAGTGAGACCCTGTCTCAAAAAAAAGAGAGAGAGAGAATGGGGTGATTACATCATCTTTTATTTTTTTCAAGCGAAATGGGACAATGTCTGAGACTTGCTCCATAAAAATGCCAGTGGCAAGCCAGGCATGGTGGCGCATGCCTATAATCCCAGCACTCGGGAGGCCGAGGCAGGAGGATCGCTGTGAGTTCAAGACCAACCTGGGGGACATAGTCAATTCCAGGACAGTTTCAACTACCTAGTGAGACCCTGTCTCAAAAAAACAAACAAAAAAAAAGCCAGTGGCAGAAAGGGAATAAATGAAGGAAATAAAAGTATTTCAGGGACAACTTTACCCTCCATCTCAAAGCTTACATAGTTTTGTCTTTTTTCCGTATAGTACTAGGGATTGAATTTAGGGAGTATAGAATTGCATCTTCAGCACTTTGAAAAATTTATTTTCAGGGCCAGGATTTAGCTCAGTGATTTCACCGCCTGCCTCGCAAGCACAAGGACCCGAGTTCGATCCCCAGTACCAAAAAAAAAAAAGTATTTTCAGCCCAGGTCTCAGTTGCTCAGGCTGGGCTCCAACAGCCTCCCCAGGAGTTGAGATGACAGGCCTGTGCCGCCACACCTGGCTCCTTGGAGACATTTTAGCAATGGTTACAAGTAGGGCCCAGTCACCAGTGTGTTGATACCAGGGATGGTAGTAAACATTTATGATACAGAGGGAAGCCCACCCCAAGAAGTAATTATGCAGCCCTAAATGTCAGTACGACTAAGGTGGAAAATCTTGGTTCAAACTGAACAAGGCTGCGGCAGCTGGGTGATGGGAAATTGAGGGCAAGGTAGGATATCCATTCATTAAATGTCTTTCTACTTAAAAGTTTTCGTAGTAGTTTTTTTCTTTGAAAATCATCTCATTAAGTCTACATCAGCCTACCAGCTCTGAGTATATTTTTTTTTTTTTTTTTTTTTTTTTTTGGTACCAGGGATCAAACTCAGGGCATTGTCTTATGAGGCAGGTGGCAGAACCACTGAGCTAAATCCCTGGCCCTAAGTATAATGAATTTTTAAGAAAAGCCAGGCCCCGAAATGCCAATATGATCTCAAGTAAAATTGCGAATTGTCAGTGCCTTGGACTCAATTAGCCAGAACAGAATATAGCATGTGCAAAAGGGTTCCAAAATAGGACCTGTTTATTTGGTTATATCAGTTGGTTTCTATTTTACTAGTTCTGTCAGAGCTACAAGTAAGAAATCCAAGTGAAGCTTCTCAAACCCATTTCCACCTTTTCCTGTTACAGCAGGGAAACAATTCCAAAAACTGAGGATCATTATTTATATGTACTACAAATCTAGTTCACACCAACAGAAAAATATCAGGCAACTCCATTCTCCCCTGCCCCACCTCCCGATCGAACTAACACCTGATTGCTAACTGCTTTATCCTCAATAATTAATACTAATGTATTCCTATATTCCTGGGAAACCAGTGACCTTCGGGGTCTTTCATTCAATGTAGGCAAAGGCCCCTATTTATCATTCAGCATGAGTTGCTTCTGGGGAAAACAACAGAGACAAGGACTTGTAAGAATAGACTCATTCTCTCACATGAGGACAAGAGACGGAAACGTACTTGTTTTGTCAATCAGGCTCTGAGCCTGCTCTTCCATCCATTTCTGATAGTAGTCTTTCACATTCTCTTTATGTTTCCTACCACTGCAGTGTGTCTTTCTCACAGATGGCTGTAAAAGAAAAAAAAAAAAAAACTGTATCAGACACAGAAACTCTAAGTTTGTAGAGCTTTATCTTTACATAGGTCAGCCTGGCTAGTTCTGACTGAATTCTAAACATAATCCTGCAACACATAATGGTAATTTGTTCTCTAGACAAAGAGACAGAAGCTATGTAAAAAAGAAAAAAACAAAACAAAACACACAGTTGTTATGCAGTAAACCAGGGCCTGGAAGCCAGATCTCCTTCAGACGTTCCTCATGGTTTGTCCAACCACCTCGCTCATGGTGCACATGACTGCTGCTTCTGCAGTAAACACAACTAGTGTTAATAGAACCAGGCGAGGTAGTGCACCCCTGTAATTCCAGCACTAGGAAGGCTGAGGCAGAAGGATCGCCTCAGGTTTGAGGCCAGCCTGGGCTACACAATGAGTTCAAGGTCAGCCTGGAATATATAGCAAGACCCTGTCTCAAAAACTAAAATAGCAGAGATTTTCTTTTCTAGTCTGTATTTCACAATATTGCTCCTTGTCTGATAAACCTTTGCTTATATTAATCCAGTGATGCCTTAACAACTTACCTGGCAATTTTCATAACAGGAAATACAAAAACAATATTATCAAATGTATTTAATAATTTTTTTGTGTATAGTATGTCTTAAAACATTCATTATACAATGCAACATTACAATCTGGACAGTGGTATCTAGCTTCTTTCCAAATTCTTTTTGCATTACCGTCTTTCTCTTAACACACTTTACACTGTGGTGTTGGCCTTTCCTTTTTCCCTGTGGGTGAAATAAAATGTATACCCACTAAATGAAAGGGTGAAGATGTCAATGATGGACGTCCTGGTTGGTGTTTAACCATCTGTATTTTTCAATTATTTGGTCTATTAGACCTAATCTAAATTGTCGACGACTGTTTGAACCTCCTTGTTTTGAATTAAGTGAAAAAAGAGTTCCACATTATTTGGTCCAGAAGGTGCATAAATATTTTATGTTTTTTCCTCACTTTTTTTTTTGCAGGGGGGTAATGGGGATTGAATTCAGGACCTTGTGCTTGCAAGGCAGGCAGTGGAACCACTGAGCTAAATCCCTGGCCCCCTTTTCCTCACTTGTTGATTATAGTAAGGCTTGTTAAATGTTGGTTGACTCTGTCAACACCACCCATAGAATTATTATAAGCACTGACCACTACTGAACTTTTAGTTTTGTTTCTTCTTTCAAGTTTTATCATTTATGCATTATGAATAGTTGACAAATAGGAGATGTCTTTCTTGTGTTTCCATTCCCTAAAAGACTTTTCATCTCTGATATTCTAATACTTCTTCCTTTCTCAGGTTCTTCTTTTGGAGATCCCTTGACACTTCCTACCTATTCAGTCTCAGTGTCCCAAATGTACCCATTTCATATTGTAGAAGAGTATCACTGAGTTTTGAATAAGTATAAAAATTTATGGCCAGGGATTTAACTCAGTGGTTCTGCCACCTGCCTTGCAAGCGCAAGGCCCCAAGTTTGATCCCCAATACAAAAAAAAAAAAAAAAAAAAAAACCCAAAAACGAATGTATTTATTATGTTTTTATAAATTATAGCACAAAATTGTAGGTTATTTTTCACAAATAAAAAAAAAGATGACTTAGTAAAAGAAAATGACCAGAACTGTTAGATTTCACTAGAAACAAGTATCATAGTGAATGTATAATGTTCTAAATAAAAAGGTATGCAAAAATAGTTGAAATAAATCAAACACGACTGTATTTTGTGCAAACAAGAATCGACTCTTGGAATGGTCAATACATAAAAAAATGTTCTGCCCAATTTACACTTGGGGTAACAACAACAACAACAAAAAAAGTATATAATAAAATATGTCTGCAATGAAAGACCTGCATAACAAGTATTTCCCAGCCACTAATGCCCATTACAAAATGCATAGCAAGATTCATTCAAGTTACAAGACTGACGAAAGATTTTCTTCTGGCCAACACATTTAACAGTATAAAAAGTCTGATATGGTTTCAGAGCACACATTGCAACTAACCATGCAGTTTTTTTTTTTGTTTTTTTGGTTTTTTGAGACAGGGTCTCACTAGGCAGTTGAGACTGACCTGGAATTCACTATGTAGCCCAGGCTGGCCTCAAACTCGCAGTGATCCTCCTGCCTCAGCCTCCTGAGTGCTGGGATTACAGGCGTTGCGCCACCACGTCCGGCCAAACCTTGATATCTTTTTTTTGGTACCGGATTGAACTTGGGACCTTGTGCTTGTGACAGGCCAGGCAGTGGAGCTAAATCCCCGGCCCCATGCACTGAGTTTTGACGTACTAATATAAAGTAGTATTTAAGATTACCTATAGTTATCTGAAAAGGTTACTGGAAGTACTCCCACTTTCTTCAGCTACGTATCCATGTAGGGTATACTGTCTTCACATAACCAAAACAACATAATGCAATGGTTTTCATGTAGAAAAAGATGAAAATTCAGCTATCTTTAAATCAGACATTCCAAAAATAAATAAATAAATCAGACATTCCAGGGGTTTGCAAGGATGCTAAAACAATGCCCTTCGCACTGCCTGTGGCAGCCTCACCTTCCATTCCTGTTCCTGGTCCTAGAATCCACAGAGGCTTCACCCTGCCAGCAGCTGACACTGTGTTGTCCATTATTTCCCTGGTCTTGACAGTCTCCCCTCTCCTTGGGTCCCACCTTTCCTAGGAGCATTCTGGGGTCAGGTTTACATATTAAATTTATCCATTCTCCCTAGTTAACACCTGCTTCTGTTTTTCATTTTCTCTGTGTGTACTTCCTAACTTATTTACCTTTGTTTCCCCCTCTTCTTTTCTTTTTTAATTAAAGAGTACAGCTTTACTACTTTTGTAATTCAGCTTTTTGGGTTTTTTTCTTTCTTTTTTTGGTACCAGGGATTGAACTTGAGACCTTGCACTTGAAAGGCACTCAACGGAACCACTGAGCTAAATGCTCGGCCCTGTTTGCCTTTTTTTTTTTTTTTTTTTTTTTTTTTTTTTTTTTTTTTTTTTTTTTTTTTTTTTTTTTTTTTTTTTTTTTTTTTTTTTTTTTTTTTTTTTTTTTTTTTTTTTTTTTTTTTTTTTTTTTTTTAAGAAAGGCTCTTGCTATGCAATCCAGGCTCGCCTTGAACTCACTATGTCACCCAGGATGGCTTCAAATTGCCTCAGCCTCCCCAGGGCTAGAATTACAGACATACGCCACCCTGCCCGGCTACTTTTGTAATTAAAAAAAATGTTGCTCTAAATACTGAAAAACTTTGCGGGAAATTTTGTATTTTTCCTCCTGTGTGAACTTGTCTCAGTTTTACGGAGTGTTAATTTGAAGCACTAAAGTAGAAATAAAGTGAAAAAACAAAACTTCAGCAGGCTGAGAAATGTGTACCCAATTTTTAAAAAAAGTATACACGAGGTTTTTTTAAACTATGAAAAGACACTCGGGAGGCTGAGGGGAGCTCAAGGTCAGCCTGGACTACTTAGCATGACCCTGTCTCAATAAAATAAATAAAAGTAAAAAGTAAAAAGCCACTTACAGAGTCATGGGTGAGGTATGTATCGCAGTAGTCACAATAAAACCTGAAAAAAAAGTGCAAGTGAAAGATAAGATGCCAACCAGTTAACAGATACCCACCCACGGAAGGGCTCATTCAGTGAAGGCCAAAACACAAAAATCTGACCTACTCAGGATTCGAAGGCGTCCCGCAAAACGTACGGCCAAAACCCAGGCTTTTTCCGTCGCACTCAATATGTGCGGCCGACCTCCACACTCCGAAAGGGCTTTCCAGAGCTCCGGACCGCCCGCCCACCCGCGCCCCAGATCCCCGCTTTTCGGTCCATAACTGCAACCGCTTTACGTCAGCCCTTGGGTCACCACTACTGACGGCCACCCAGCCCCAGACCTCAGGGCCCGACTCACTTGGGCATCTTGCTCTGCAGGCCGTTGGCCACTCCGTCGCGCACCCACCGGAAATGACGCAAACAGCGAGCGCCGACACTACGGAAGCTGTGAAAGAAGCGCAACGACTTCACAAAGGACTCGCCCTCTGAACCAGGAGAGGGGCGGGGCTTCGCTTTCTTCCCAGGGAAGGGCGGGAAAAGAGTACGAGTCCTTACGAGGTTCAACCCGCGCTCTCTTAATCTTGCAATTCCGGAAATGCGGTATTCCCTGCTAATCTGCCCGGCGCAGCTGTAAATGCTAAGGGATGTGAAAAAAATCATTGAACGAAACAGACAAAAATTATTGCGCTCATAGACCTGTCTAGAAATAGGATAAAACAGATAAAATTAAGCCGGACGTGGAGGCATACGCTGTAATTCCAGTATTCCGGGAGACTTGAGACAGGAGGAACGATAGTGTGATCAGACAGGACAATTGCGACTTTGTGACATCCTGTCTCAAAAATAAAAAGTTAAAAAAAAAATTTAAAGGTCTGGATATGCACCTCAGAGCGAAGGCCCTGGGTTCAACCCTCATGACAAAACAAACAAAAAATAGATAAAATCAATAGTTTAGCTGAAATAAAGTATTGATGAAAGGTTAAAGATCAACTTTAAAGATGAGAAAGGAAGCCTGTCGAGAATGACGATTTGAGAAATGATACCTTTCTTAATGTAGTAACGGCCAAGCGCAAGCCACTTGATAACTTTTTTTTTTTTTAAGTATTGTTAACACTAGGAGGTAGTAGAATCCCTAGTTTGAAGAACTGTTACTCTGCTTCCTAGAGGTACTACCTTGGCAAGTTATTTAGCTCAGCTTCTGTTCACTCTTCTGAAAAACGTGTAGTGATTCTAATTTGTGAGGTTTAAAGAAGAATAAATATGAACGTGCTTGTAGAGTGTTTAGAGCAATGCCCAAGAAATTGATAGACGTTGTCTTCCCCCCTAGAACCTGTTCTAGTAACAAGGCTGAACTTCCAGTCAGGTCTGTCGAAGTTTAGAATGGCTTGTTTCCCACATACTCTGTTGATGAAGTTGCGCCAAAATAATAAAAATAATAATAATAATAATAATAATAGTTACTTTATTTGAATGATTACTATGTCCTCAGTGCTATAAATGCATTAATTTATTTAATCCACTCAACAAGCCTATTTGTTCGCGTTTCAGATGAGGGAACAAAATTTTATTTCTTTCATTCATAGACAGTTTACTATAGCACAAGGAGACAGATTAATATCACTCAGAGGGCTAGGGATTTAGCTCAGTGGTTCTGCTGCCTGCCTCTCAAGGTACAAGGTCCCCAGTTCGATTCCTGGAACAACAACAACAAAAAAAAAGATATATCATCAACTATGATATATTCTTGCCAAAAATGCTTAGCTTGGATCTCAAATTTATAGTATAGGGCCTGGGACTTAGCTCAGTGGTGCCACTGCCTGCCTTGCAAGCACAAGGTCCCGAGTTCAATTTCTGGTACAAAAAAAAAAACCCCAAAAAAATAGTTTACAGTATAGGCTGGAGCAGCGATGGCAATACTGCAATCTAAAACCCACTCATCTATTGCAGACCAACACTGCAATTAAACCTGAACACTGAGGTTTTAGTTTAGAAAAATCAATTCATACATTAATATCGTTTGTCTTAAAAGTGAAACAATAGCATCCATGCCATCAGTTCACCACCACTGGGCTAGAGGATCAACTAAAGGAAAGGAAAAGGCAGAAAATTCAGAAGGTTGGGCTGTTACATAGGACAACCAGCCTCTTCGCTTTACTGAGTCAAGAAAAGATGTTGTAGATTGGAAATCGTTTTTTAGAGCATAAAAACTACATGTAGTGTATGATCCAGAGTTAGATTCAACATTGTACAAAACAGCTTTGAAAACCATTTTGGAGAAAATGCCTGGGCCTTAGAGTTGCATTTCAAGAAATCCAGTTTCTCTGGCCGGGGATTTGGCTCAGTGGTTCTGCTGCCTGCCTCGCAAGCGCTAGAGCCTGAGTTCGACCCCCAGTAACAAAAGAAAAGAAAATGGAAAAATGGAAATAAAGTGTTTGTAAATGAGAAGGGTAGGAGGAGGTGAAGGGAGGGCAGGGACAAGAGGAAAAAATGAGAACCAAGACCTGTCATGTAAAGGAACAAGATCCCAATGATGAATGCAACTGTACTGTATGCCTAAAATGTACCAATAAACTCAATGAGAGAAAAAAAATTCACCTTTGGGTCAGGGGTTTAGCTCAGTGGTTCTGAAGGGCGTGAATTCAAGCCTCAGTACCAAAAAAAAAGGAAAAAAAAATGCACCTTTGCCGGAATATCCAAGTCTCATCGGGGGATGGATTCACCAGTTATGTCTTTATTTTCTCCTGATTTCCCTCTGTGTTTCCCGCCTGACCTGTTTTGCCTTCTTGTCCATTCCTCCCCTTTTCCCTGCTCCTTATTATTGTTTTTGGTACTGGGGTTTGAACTCGGGCCCTTGCGAGGCAGGTGATGAAACCACTGAGCCAAATCCCCGGTCCTTCCCCGCTCTTCACAGTGTGGCCCTGGAGGGCAGATACCCAAGGCCACAGGGCCTAGGTTTCTGTGCTCTTAGCTTCTGGAATGCTGGCCTCCAGCAATGGGAGGTGTTTTCTGGAGATGGGAGGGATCCAGGGAAAAACAAGACTATCCCAGACTCCCTCCACACCCTCAAGACAAAGTGACCAGCCCCGCCACACCCCTCAATAGCAGATTTCTCCCTTCTGGCCTAACTGGCTCCAGCTGGGAGATGGTCCGAGCCCCTGCACTCTTCTCAACCAGAGTCCTCCTGAATGAAGACAGCTGAAACTTCTTGCTGTTGCTGATCTCTGGGCTCCTTCATTATTCTCTGCTAGGCGTTTTTTTGTTTGTTTGTTTGTTTTTTGAGACGGGGTCCTCACTATGTAGCTGAGACTGACCTGGAACTCACTATGTAGCCCAGGCTGGTCTCAAACTCACAGCGATCCTCCCGCCTCAGCCTCCCGAGTGCTGGGATGACAGGCGTGCTCCACCTCTCCCGGCTCTACTTGGCTTCTTATTTCTTCTCCCACCTACATAGGACAATTAACTGTGTTAAATTCCCTCTGCTTTGAATACCTAAAGTGGTTTATTTGTTCCAGGTTGAACTCTGATTCATAAATATATGCAGTCTTACCTGCCTTCCAAATTCAAAGGGGTATCTCCCCCACACCCTGCCAGTGAACCCCATTATCTTATAAAGCAGTGCTTTTCACATTTTTTCCCCCTCTATCAGCTGAAAATGTCCATTTGTTGCCCTCAAGGTCAAAATCACAAGTGTCCACCTGACATGGAACGCCCTTGAACTCCAGTGTGGTATCTGTAAAACTCAGCAATGTTTGTAATCTAGTCCATAATGCAACTGTGCTTTCGATTTTACTCAGGTATTATATTTTTTAAAAAATTTTTTGTGGAGGTTTTTTTGAGACAGGGTCTATGTTGAGACCCAGGCTGGTCTCAAACTCACAGTGATCCTCCCGCCTCAGCCTCCCAAGTGCTGGGATTATAGGCGTGTGCCACCATGCCTGCCAAGTATTTTATTTTTGAATAGGCAGTAAATCAACCAGGAGCAAAAATAGAAAAGCACAGAAGGACACTGTCCCCAGCCACACCCCCATTCCCAATTTCCTCTATATCTTTCCAGAGATAGATCATGCATGGGCATAATCCTGGTTCTGTTCTAAAGATGTAGGATCTCACTGCCTTAATTCATTAGCCAGTCATTTACTGTGAACATTTAAATTATACTCAGGAGTGGTATCGCATGCATATGATGCCAGCTCTCTGGCGGCTGAGGCAGGAGGATCACTGCAAGTTCAAGGCCAGCCTGGACTACACAGTGAATTCAAGGCCAGAAAGAACTACATAGTAAGACCCTGTCTCAAAACAGCTCCCACAAAAAAAAAAAAAGAAAAAATATTGTTAGTCTTGTCCTTATTGATCTGTACAGTTCCTTATATATTAAGGAAATCAACTTTGTTGTATGAGTTACACAATTTTTTCCATTTGTAGCTTGTCTTTGGCTTTATCTTGGGTAGCTTTTTATGATAATGTTTTTAAAACCCTAGCCCTATGTTAAAAATTTTAATGCTGGACATGGTGGCATATATGCTTGTAATTAGAGCTACTCAAGAAGAAGAGGCAGGAAGGTCACAAGTTTGAGGCCAACTTGGATAACAGCGAGACCTTGCCTCAAAAAATAAAAATGCCCACTACTGGGGATTTTATTTTGTTTGTTTGTTTGGTTTTGGGGTTTTTTTTTTGTTTGTTTTTTGGGGGGTTTGGAGGGGTAGAGAGTGGAACTCACCATGTGGCCCAGGCTGGTCTTGAACTCACAGCAATCCTCCTGCCTCATGCTCCTGAATGCTGGGATTACATGCATGTGCCACCATTCCCAGCTATTTGTTTGTTTTTGATACCAGGGATTGAACTCAGGACTTTGTGCTTGCAAGGCAGGTGCAGTGCCACTGAGCTAAATCCTCGGCCCACAACTTCTGGGTTTTATGTCATAGGTAGAAATCCCTTCACCTCTCTGGTATTTTTTTTCATAGTCTCTTGTATTTTCTAACTCTTTTATTTCAATTTTTCATGTTTATGTCTTTTACCTATCTGGAATGAACTTATTTTGTTCTTTTGAGACAGGGTCTTGTCATATAGTTCAGGCTGGCCTGAACTCACTGTGTAGTCCAGGCTGGCCTCAGCTGGAATCTATTTTAAAGTTTGAAGCAGACATCTATTCATGAACAGCAACCCAGTTATCCAGCACTAGTTTTTGAGTATATCCATATATATAATTTCTGGGCTTTCTAATCTGTTTCTTTGGTCTATTAATGTACCTCCACCAACTGTTTTAAATACATCCATTTATATTATATTTGTTGCTATTTTAATATAAGAATACCTTACCACCCACATGAATCTTTATTCTAATCTTTAAAAAATCTTCCAGGGGAAGATACAGTTATTAGGTTTGGCACATTAATGGGGTATGCCGAATATCTCTATGTGGAACAGTGCTAGTTAGACACACAATGCCATATAAATTTGTTT